CTTCCATTACTTCATATTGAAATGAAATTTTAGATTTATCTGCTTAAAAATAATGAAGCATATACGATGAAAATTTACACATAACCAGTTACATTTATGAGTACATGAAATATTTCCTAATACTTACGCATTTAACTAAATATTTGTAAATCACAGGTTTTTTGAGTACATCTGTGTAAAAACTTTACTTTATAAAGCAATTATTAGTATTTTATAAGTGTGTTTAAGTTGTTATAACATAAAATTTTGTAATCATATTTTTTTTTACTAAATTGGAAGCATAGAAGTCAAACTCCTGAAAATATTTTATGCATAAATTCTTATTTACAAATATATACACCACTTTTAAAATATTTTTATAAGCAACATATACTACTACTCTACTATACTTCATTCAGAGTTAGAGATAAGATCTTCGCAAATATTCCCCGAAGTTACTTCTTACCTTTTTCTAATTTTTATTATATGTTAAGTGATACTTAACTATATGATAGGTACATGTGTATTAGATTATTCTAACTGATAAAATAGATAAAATAACTATAAGATACTTTTGAAATCGTAAAAAAATATTTTGCAGATTTTACAGTCGTTTTCTAAATATCACTTAGATCAGCAAAGTTGATATATAACTTAAAACTTACTTTAATTAGTAATAACAACTAATAACCATTAAGTGTATTAAAGGGCCAAAACTATAATTCTAAAATCGGTACTAAACATTTAGTCGACTAAAAAGTATGTTAAAATCCCAAAGGTAGCCAATACTTAGTTAACATTAATATGAGATTGATTCGCATCTTCTTCAAGTTCTTGATTGCATTGTTAGCATGTTTTACATATTTTCCATATTGTTTATAACAATTATTGTTAATATGGTTTAGTGTTATTTTTCGTTTAAACCTTCAATTCCTTAAGAATAGATTCACTGTTAGTATAATAGATTCACTTTCATTCCTTCTGACAGAAGAAAAACAAACTTCAAGTTAATTCACTTAATATTGTTGCTGTGCTATAATTCATTATGACAATAGAACTATTTCCCAGTCCTGATAAGTAATATATCTCCTATATTTTCCATTGTATATCTTTAGCAGGGTTGGTTCTCAGAAACTTGGCATATACATAACTTTTTATTAGAAAAAGTATCTAATTTCATTAATAAATGTCTATCATAATGGTGGTTAAATGATTCCAAAGAACAGTTGGTAATGATTTATAGGGATATAAATCAAGTTAAAATACCTAAAACACCAAACTTGAATACAATTTATTCGAATATAGAATAAACTGAGTTATCTGATTATAAGTGCTTAAATTATAAACCCATACTTATTCTAATATATCTTTAAGTTTTAAATACTTTACTTTATTTTTGTACATGAAAAGCCGCTAATTTCTTTGACCTTTACCCATCAAACTAACTAAAGAAAAAAGCTATGCCTTTGAACGCGTGTAAAATGTCAAATTAAATAAAATTTATGTGCCCCAAAGGAAAAATAGGAATCCAACTGTTGCTCCAACCTACTAACAATTGATTAAAAGCTCTTAATTAAATTGTATTTCATATTTACACAAAACAGTAAATAAATTTACCTAACAACTAAATAAGAACTGTCAAGCCTGTGAAATTTCTGTGCCAGTACAGTGACTTGCGTGAGCTCTTAGGCAAAATGTAGTACAAATGCAATCCACATAAATCATACAAATTCCGGAAAGTAAGTTTTCTACTAACGTTTCTAGGTTGCCAAAAAGATAGCGAACTTAGGCAAAAAAAATGTTGATTGGATTAAGAAGCAGCCGGTGTGTAATCGATTTGCACGAAACACTGTCATAGGTTAAAGGGTTTCCTATGTTATGTTAATATTTGTGTATGAAAATGAAAATTTATGCCAATATATAAGGCCTACATACATATATCTGACTAATATCACTGATTCACAAATGTGAAAATAAAGGAAGAAAGTATTTAAATATAAACAAACCTGCGTTAATAATACACTTACTATAAGAAAATTAGACTCTCATATACAGTATCTGTACCGCTTTGTGTGAATCAAACCAGCTGCTGCTGGTTTTCATGAATCGCACCGATGCTAAGAGAAATGCCCTGGTGTTCTGTAAAGCCGCACGAGGGTTTGCCATTCATAAGCTATACGCTAGGCAAGTTAATCAGCTGAAAAATTCAATAATTCGCATGATGTGCCTGAAAGATACACAATCGAATAAACTTCAAGCAGAGCTGATTAAAAATCGATAATAAAATTACTTTATTTTAATTCTCTTTCAAATATGTGCTGTTTTTTTTTTGGTTTGGTATATATCTTTTTATTCATTTATTTTTTTTTTTTTTGGTAATATTTTAAATTTAGCCACATAAACCAAATGATATATTTTGTAATGTTCGCTACTTTTAGCCGCTTAGAATAGCATTTATATTTGGCAAAGTACATACGTTCGAAGTTCTTTATATTTTTTATCTATGGATTTTTTTGTTTTTATTTATCTTTTACATCTATCTAAAATTTAAGCTTTTTTAAATACACGATTTATTTTTTATTTACCTATAACGAATGTCTTTCATGCGTCTTTTTACTTATTTCACCGCAATTATTTATACTCCTTGCCTATGCGTGTAAAGGACTTAAGTAGAGTAAATCGAAATACTGATTTATTTAGGAAATTGCCTATAGAATCTACATAAATTGGTTCAGCGAATTAATGGCATTGAATTCATTGCAAGAATTATTTAAAAAAATAAAAATCTTTCTGAAATGCGCAATCAAATCTGGGTTTATAAGTTTCGCTTGTCAAGTGTGACGAGGCATGCTGCTAGGATAACCTTAAATTGAATTTGTTTCCAAGGATGTGCACTTCTGTTTTTCTTTAAGTACATCAAAAATAAAAGAAAGCTAAAGTTGACATTTAAAGTGAAGCATATTTATTTGGAAAATTATGATCTTTTGAACTTTTCAATTTAATTTCATTTATTAACAAAATTTAACTTGTCAATTTATTTCCTTTATGTATATATATATAAATATTGTTCATCTTTTCATTTATACAAGTATTTTCTTGAGTTTAAAATAATATGATAGTAATTGGATTGAATTTTTATTAATATTATGAACATGTGGTTTTTACTTAACAAAATGTTCATTTAATATAAATTTTTAAAAATTATTTATAAAAATATTATTTAAAACAGTTTTTTAAAATTATTGTTATACCCTTTAAACAAAAAAAAATTTATACAGGGTGTATTAGGAATGTGTATATTTTAGATCAACTAGACAAATTAAGTTCATTTAGCCCTATCTGTCTGTCAGAAAAACAAGCCCCTCAGTTTTTAAGGTATTAGCATAAAATTTTGAACAGATGCTTCTCGGGATTATACCTTCATCATTTCTTAGATACGACTAGAAACGGACTACTGTATTCTATAGCTGCCATATGAGCTAAATAAAAATAATAGCTAAATAAATGTAAGTTTTCTAGCACTTTTAATAACGAGATTCATATCATGGAAATTGTCGAGTCCGATAACCGACCGTTATATAAGCACTGTTTTGATTGCCCAAGAGCTAAAAATTGCATAAAAAACCATTCGGAACCATTTATATAAAGCTGGATACAAAAAAAAATCGACCTATGGGTAGCACACAAGTTAACGCAAAAACACCTCATACACCGAATTTCGTTTACGAAGCGCTGCAGAATTGCAATAAAATCGACTCATTTCTGTAGTGATTTATCACGTTTAATGATGATGAAAAGTGGATTACTTACGACATCGTCAAGCAAAAACGAACCTGGTTTAATCGCGGTAAGTCAGCTAAAATGGTGCCCAAGTCAGAATTGACGGCCAAAAAGGTTTTGCTGTGTGCTTGGTGGAATTAGCAGAGGATCATCTATTTTGAGCTGTATTGTCAACAATTGAACCGTCTGAAAAAAGCAATCACCCAGAAACATTCAGTTTTGGGCAATACCAGAGGAATAGGGTTTCATCAGGACAACGCAGGGCCGCACACATACATAATGGCTTGCCAAAAGCTCTAGAAGTTTGGTTGGGAATTTCTTGTGCATCCGCCTTTTAGTCTAGACCTTGCACCAAATGATTAACATCTCTTCCTGTCCATGGCAAACCATTTTTCTGAAAAAATGGAAACCTCTTTTTTTTGCCAATAGGGTCGAGAACTTTCATAAGAGAGGCATAATGAAATTACCTTCAAAATGGCAACAAGTTATTAAACAAAACGGCGCATATTTAACCTAAATCGGATCATTCTATGGTAAATAAACCTTCAATTTTATGCAAAAATAATAGATTTATTTTTACTTCACATATTATGATGCCATCTTTAGCTAATGCAGGGTCAAAAATATATTTTTAAACATTTCCACAAGTCAACAACTGTATTTACAATGTTCTTTTATATAATGAAAAGTAAATAATGATGCTATAGACGTTTCTTGGCAACACTTATGAACGAGTGTAGTATATCACTGGATTTCTTGAGTTATTCTTGTTTGTCATACTTCCAGATATTGAAACCAAGTCCTCTAAATAGGCAAATTTCTATCTGGAGTACTTTAATTGATTGGGTTTTACAACTGTTTTTATATTTAGAATCTCACGTTAATTACCGACTGATTTTTGGTCTATGACATGGAGCTATGATCAAATAAAGTATTATATATTCAATATGTTGTTGTTGTAATATGTTTTTTTTTGAAATAATAGGAAAGTAATGTATATTTCTAGAGATTTTTAAAAAATATTTTTAAAACGCTCGTATTTAATTCTCTCTATCTACATTTAAAAATTTAGCTGTACATTTCAATATGTATATGAATATTAAATATAAATATTGTGATATATATTTTTAATAAAATGAATGTTTCAAAAAAATAGTTACACTTATTTAGAGTAAAATATAAAATATTGAAATAAAAAGTTTCTGTCTACTAAATGCATTTTTTCTCTTACATTTTTTCAGAAATTGAAGCGGTTGAAGCATGCAAATGGCTGCGTGCAGCAGGTTTTCCGCAGTATGCACAAATGTATGAAGGTAAGTGAATCGATGATGACGCAAAGAATCATTCCACTGTTTTACACGAATTGGCTACTCCTCTGGACGTTTTTTAAAAATGATGGTGGTATATATTAACACAGACACTTTGCAAATAAACGTGAATTTAGTTAATAATGCGTTTACTTAAATTCATGCTAAATGTTTTAACACTTTAAACCAAGACAAGACGACAGACAGAAAAGCAGGTGAAAATTATGATGCAGCAAAATCTACTGGTGCATTTGACCAAAAATATTGCATTCAGAAATCGCCAGATTTCGTAAAAGAAATGTGGCAAGTGTATTTATGACAAGAGCACGTACGCGTAATTGATGAGGCCGGGAGACTGCAACAATTTGTTATATTTAAATATTGCACAATTGGACAAACGAGCTGACTGATATGCGGACAGACATTTATGTATTTTGATGATTGTGAGGAGTGTAGCAGAAATGATAACTTCCTTTATGAACCTGCCTGCAACTTAAGTATTCAATTTAGGGACTTTCACTTTTCTTTGTGAATGAGGATGAAGATATGCGCTGCTTATGCGCATGTGGCGCGCTTCTTATGCTTCCTTTAGTTTTACTTTACTTTTGTTAATTCATTTTATTTAATGTACATTTTGCAACAATCCATTCTGCAAATCTTGCAACAATTTTAAATCATTCATTTGCAATCCTAACAATGCGACCATGCAACTGTTTGAGTGTTGCTACGTTGAGTTGCATGTGAAAGTAAAAGCGCTCCTTTTGCGGTTTCTTAATTGTAGGCTCGAAAAAGTTAATGAGCTGCAAATCTCTTTCTTAATTTATTTTTTGTTGCTATTCATTTTATATCTTTTACACCATGAAGTTATCTGATCTTTGTGGTGGTTCATTATTTCAGGTGTGAACCATTTTATTTTGGGCTGTAACACAAGTTTGTTTTCAATAATTAAGAACTTAGGCTTAAACAAATTTCAAAAGTTTACTTTACTTTACTTTATCCTTAATATCAATATATTACAATATTTTTTAATTGCCAACATTTAATTGAATTAAATTAGTAATAATTTTAAATGCACATTCATGCCTGCTAGATGTGACCCAGCAGGGTTATTTTGAAATTATACAAAAAAGCCAAAGTTATAGATATTTGTATAATCGTCACTTCACAGTAATGATTGTGAATAGTTAAAACAGCCACTCTTAATATTGGAATAAAGTTATGCGTAGAAATTATCAGATAAAATAAGATCAGTACTTAAGTTCAGAAATTTTTAGTACTTACTTTTCTTATAAAGTATTAGATTTGCTTTATAATTTTTGATATCACTCTTTTTCTACATTGGACAATCTATCGATATTGTCTATCGAAGCCAATTTTTTATTTTATAAGATACAGATATTGGCTAATAGTAATTTTTCTTTTTGTCATGGAGTTCTATATATCTTAAGTGAAACATTCATAAGTACTCATAGGAATAAAAAACCTAAGGAATCAATTGTCCTACTAATCTAAATAATCATATTAATGAGCATGATGTTGAATATTGAAATGTTATTATATGTACGAATATATCACTTCCTTTTATTTGAAACTTCAATTACATTATTCATTTCCACATAACTCCAACTTTTTAAAACAAACTAAGGTAATGTTCTTCTTCATAACATAATATGTCTAAAGTTTATTAGGCCGTTTTTAAAGATTAAGAGAATGTTTGATTTCTTATACAAATTTTATATTCATTATTATGTTAAAGCTATTTGAGCCAGTGCACTTGAGCACTTTTATTTTTCTTAACTCGAGGTATTTTCAAAACACCTCTTTACGCCTTGAGTGGATTATTGTTTATCACTTCATCAGACTAAGCAATAATTGACCTTAGATCTGCATACGCCTCTGAGGCGCCTGTAACCATTCTGAGATTTGATAACGCGGTGTTGGTAAGTCTGTCAGTTTTCGCAAATAATTTCAGGGCTCTATCTTTTATGTATTTTTTGATGGGATCAATCTTGAAATCCCTGAGGATGTCATTCGTCCTAATATACCATGGTACTTTAAAAGGTCTTCTCAGAACCTGGGTTTGTGCACTTTCTAGCTGGCGAATAGTAGTGTTTGAAGCTCTGCTAAACGCTACACATTCATATAGAAGTGACGGACAAATTATTTAGTTATATATCATGCCCACTTCTATATGAAAAATCGATTCAATTAATTTCTTCTGTCCATTAACTGGTTAACAGTAAATTAATTTCTTTTAATTTAATCTCTAAAATAAATTTCACGGACACTCGAAGCGGATTCTAATGAACTATTACGCAAAGAATTATTACTACTTTGGATCGATACCCTTTAAAAAGAGTTTTCTAATAGCTTTTATAAATGCTTGAAATTTTTATAGGATTTCTCATTCGTTATGGTTTAAAGAGGAAGTGTTCTCAGGCACATTATAAGCATAAGTTACCTGAAATACCTCATCTCATATATTATGTTAGATGTAATTATGATTTTAAGTAAGAAATCGACTTAATTAAAACCACGTACAAATAAGTGGATTTAAAAGCGATCAAGATGTGGCTTAAGATTTGCCTTGTACTAGTCGATAATCAACGTTTTAAACTGACTTTAACATCATTAAAGTAAAGAGAGTTTAAGTCTGAAAGAGTTTATTCTTCTTAATTATCGTATTTAATTTATAACATATCATTTATGAAGTAAGCCCCTTCTTACAGGTCACTCAAGCAGTCAGTGTTTTAGTTAACTCATTTATATGCATTTAGTGTATAAAGTAGTTTGAATTTGAAATTAAAACACCCTACAAATTATTAATCTATCAAAATTTATTTTGACACTATTAAAATAGACAAGTTTACAAGTGTACTTACGTCCATATTTTTTTCAAAGGTATGTTGTAGATATGGTCTTCAATTCTTTCTACAAACTTAGTTTTATGGAAACGACATCCTCAAGTGCTCATTTTCTTGCAGTCGTTTTTAAATTATAAATTCCTCATACCTAGAACACTTAATAATATGAGAATAACTAAAAATCAAAGTACCAACCTCAGCCTTTAAGGAATAATTGTTCTATAGAAAAATGTTTTAGTTCAACTAAAAATTGACAAAGTCATCTTCAGAAAAATTAATAGTTTTGAAGCTATGAGAAATAATTAAAGAATATTATATAGAACTTTGAATTTTAATATACAAGAAAATTACTAGTGATATAAAATGAAACAAAATAAATAAAAACAGATTCGTCGATTACTTTTGAAACTCCTTCTTTCAACATCAAATACGGCAACACCCACTACACTTCAACTTCTGCACCAAATGGCAAAAAAAAAATTGAGATGCTGTCTCTGCTTGAAATATTGTATAACACAACAAAATTAAAACGAAAATATGATATATCACTAAATTACCACATACGAAATATTTACAAGAATCTCATTAAAATAAGCATTAATCACTGAAATCAACTAAGGCAAAAAAGAAGGATGCTTAAGTACATCTTAAATAAGCCTGAAGAAGGTTAAAATTATTATTTAACAGAGGCAATAATGTGTAGAGAGCATAATTTCTTAAGAAAAAAAGAAAAAAAGGGAAAAACAGAAAAAAATCCAAATTAAAATATTAAAAAAAAATATCTAAAAAATTATGAAAAAGTGTTGAGGCATAAACTAAATTGTCAGTTCATATTTTTTTTTTTTTTTTGTTTCTGGACTTGAATTTATACTTTCTTTAGATACTCGTACTTCTTGTCTGCAAACAAAACTTAAAACTCAGCTTAGCTGCGAGCAGTCTTGGTTGTTTTCAATTGTATTTGTTGAGGTGCGGAGCTGCAAAAAATCCAAGAAAACAGGCAAATGTTCTCAAAATCGAAAAAGAAAAAATATTGAAAGCTTTATGCATAAGAATCTCAATCAGTAAATTTATGATAAAACGCACAAACGTTCTTATTTTCAAGGTCGGTCACGCGAATACATAACTTAAGATAAATTCTTTTACGGCAGATACCAATTTATTCTCATCTCTTTGTATTCAGATACGACTAAAATCGTTCTTAGAGCCCAAAAAGCTGTGGCAAGCAGAGCTATCAATACTTTTAATTTCGAAATAAAAAAGCTTGCAAAAAATTGTGATTTTATAAAAAATATATTTTAAGATTGTTTAATTTGCTTTTATGCACACTTCAAATTATGTGGCATGAAACGGCAGAAAATCGCGTTAACTGCAACCTGAGCCTCCCAAAAAAAGTCAACAAAATTCACTTTTCAACAGCAACCGCAGCGTGGCAGTTAGTAAACTGCAAGATACTTTAATTTTTTATATTATTTTTATTTTTTTTTTTTTTTTTTCTGAATGCATATATGCATGAGCCGCGGAAAAAAATTCTTTTTCAACAAAGTCAAAGAACTTTTATCGTATTAAACTTCTTGAACGCATTTAAATTTTGGGCTATAAATTTACAGCCAATTTTTTTTTATGATACCAGAGAAGATTTTTTACACACATAAAAGAGCAGCTAAACTTTTAGTTTTTATTTTGTTAATTTCAAAATTTATTATTTATATAGGATTATTTTTTTTTAATTTTTATAAATGTATTCTTTTTTAATTTTGTTAAAAAAAATTTTTTAAAATTTGCCGCTCATAATCAATCTGCGATTTCCTGAGGCATAAAATGCAAGACGACACCAGCAAACACCGTCGACATTGTTACGATTTGAGCTTTCGGTATCTTATCTGGGCACACCACACACACCCATTTTTGAATTGACTCTGGAAATTTGGTTCTTGCATCTTCTAAATTTTTTATATATTTTTTTGTTTTTTGTATTTGTTTTTTATTTTTTGTTTGGTTTACTTCTCTGTTTCCATTCAACAAACACAAAGTTTAAAATTTATATTTAAAGCATTTTTCAAAGGAATAAAAGGAAGCATTTTGATTGCGTTTTGGCTTCATAAAAAGGGTTCGGCTGTTATGCTGCGGATATAAGCTCGTAAA